GAACGGTAGCTCTTTATTTCGCGAACTCATCCATTCTAGTGATTCTGTTTCCAGCACAAGCTTTAGCCTCCAGGACACAGCCCGGCAGCAATCCCAGCGGTCCTGCCTTCGCAACGCACGCTGGCACGACACATTTTCCTCCGCAGAGCAGGGCCGTGATGCGGCTGTATGGGGGTGCGCCTTCCCCAGCCCAGCACGTCAGAAAGTTGGATCATAGAACGGCAGCTCTGCGCTTCGTGGATTTGTCCGTTTGCGAAACTCCGTCCCCACCCCACACGAATTGTTTGCCTCCTGGACATAGCCTGGCTGCAATGCTGGCGGTCCTGCTTTCACGCTGGGCCTTCGCACGCTAAAAATCATCTGGCTGTATGGGGGTCTGCCTTCCCCAGCTTAGCACGTATGCAAGCTTCTTAAAAGATAGGTAGCTCTTTACTCCGTAAGCTTATCCGATCTAGCAAGTCCGTTACCAACAGATGCTCGAGCCTCCAGGACACAGCTGGGCAGCAATGCCGGCGATCCTGCCTTCACACTGCACGCTCGCACACCGTACTGAATTGTAACTCCGCAGGGCAGCACCCTATTACGGCTGTATGAGGGTAGGCCTACGACACTCTTGTACGCTTGAAGAAAAGTGTTCTTGCCGCGGCGAATACCAGGCACTATCGTTCAATTGATTTGCGCATTCTCGCCTAGGCTTTCCTCAGGTGCAGCCTGTTTGCGTGACACCGCGGTACGCCTCCTGCTATGCCATTCGCATTCCCACAAGGCAACACACTGATACGGCTGTATGGGGGTGAGCCTTCCCAGATGTTCCACATTTGAAGTGTTTTCTTGCCACGGCGAATACCAATCATATATGTTGGTTAGCCATTTCCGCCTCTTTTTCATCAAATCCGTTCCTTGTTCATTGTGAAACCGTGATGCCCGTCATACAGGGGCATTGGCCCTTCCACAGGGCAGCACCCTTATACAACTATATTGGGGGGGGCCTTCCCATGTGTAGCACTCTGAAAATGTTGTTCATAGACCAGGAGCTCTGTAATTCGTGAGATTGTCCGTTCTCGCCGATCCGTTCACAAACGAGGCGAGGCGTTTGCCTCCAGGACACAGCGTGACGGCAATGCTGGCGGTCCTGCACACCCGCACTGTGTGTGCGTGTGTGTGCGTGTGTGTGTGTGTGTGTGTGTGTGTGTGTGTGTGTGTGTGTGCTGCCCATTGTCGGTGGAATGTCCAGGATGAGATGAACAAAGATTGCTGTCACTGGGCATGTGGAGTGCACATGCCTACCACCAGTCTGTGGTGCCTAACATGGTACAATATGTGCACCATCATCAGCGAAAGGTGGGACTTTCCCACATTCACCGGCACCGACGATCAAGGATAGAAGAGTCCAAGTGCCTCGCCTGACAAAAAAGGGTTATATCAACCCTCAAGGGCTGCAATCCTCCTCCTCCTCTTCCTCCCTCCATCTTCTATCCTCCCTCCTCCCATATACTCTTCCCAGACCTTCTGCGCCTCCTCCTCTTCCTCCTCCTTCTCCGTCTCTTCCTTTTCCTCCTCATCATCAACAGAATCATCAGAGTCATCATCACCATCATCAGCATCACTGTCACCATCATCATCAACATCAACATAAATTACATCACCGGAATCCTCACCATCACCCTACCATCATCGACAACAACAGTACCACACTATCTATCTATCTATCTATCTATCTATCAATCTATATATCTATCTATCTATCTATCATCATCATCGTCATCGTCATCGTCATCGTCATCATCGTCACCACCAGCATCATCAGCATCAATATCAATATCAATATCAATATCATCATCATCATCATCATCATCATCATCATCATCATCATCATCATCATCATCATCATCGTCATCGCCATCATCGTCACCACCAGCATCATCAGCATCAATATCAATATCAATATCAATATCATCATCATCATCATCATCATCATCATCATCATCAGCATCATCATTCATCATCATCGTCAGCATCATCATCACCACCATCATCAGCATCAGCATCAGCATAATCATCATCGTCATCATCAGCAGCATCATCATCGTAATCATCATCGTCATCATCATCATCATCATCACCAGCATCATCGTCGTCATCATCGTCATCGTCGTCGTCGCCATCATCATCATAATCATCAGCATCAGCATCATCATCATCACTGTCGTTGTCGTAATCATCATCATCGTCATCATCACCACCATCAGCAACACACTCATCATCATAATCACAATCATCACCACCATCGGTCAATAGCATCAGCACCATCAGCATCAGCATCAGCATCAGCATCACCATCAGCCGCAGCAGCATCACCACCACAACCACCACCGCCACCATCATCATGCTATCAGCATCAGCATCATCATCAGCCGCATCATCAGCATTGTCGTCGTCATCGTCATCATCAGCAGCATCATCGTCATCATCATCATCGTCATCATCATCATCACCAGCATCATCATCATGATCGTCATCGTCATCGTCGCCATCATCATAATCATCAGCATCAGCATCACCGTCGTTGTCGTAATCATCATCATCGTCATCATCACCACCATCAGCAACACACTCATCATCATAATCACAATCATACCCACCATCGGTCAATAGCATCAGCACCATCAGCATCAGCATCATCATCAGCCGCAGCAGCATCACCACCACAACCACCACCATTACCATCATCATCAGCATCAGCATAATCATAAGCATCATCATCATCATCACCATCAGCATCATCATCAGCAGCATCATCATAATCAACATCATCACCATAATCAGCATCATCCTCGTCTTCGTCATCACCATCATCATCATCATCATCATCATCATCATCATCAGCAGCAGCAGCAGCAGTATCATCATCACCATCATCATCATCATCATCATCATCATCATCATCATCATCATCATCATCATCATCATCATCATCATCATCAATATCATCAACAGCATTCCCGTCCTCCCTCCTCCCTCCTCCCTCAACTCTGATCCTTTCTCTTCCCTCCCCCCCGCTGCCCCTGCTCCCAACCGAGGACGAGACAGCCGACGAGGGCGACGCAGACGGCGCGTGTCCCACAGTGGGGCACGTCTGGGCACTCGCTCCACTCCTCGTCGTAGCCCTGGGGGGCGCGGCGCACCAGCGGGAGGGGGGAAGAAGCCCTCCCTCCCAACTGGACCTCCTCCTCCTCCTGCCCCTCCTTCTCGACCTCTCGACCGCTCCCGGGAACCGATGCCTCATCCTGGACCGTGCTCCGGCGGCCCTGTGGCCCGAGGACGGCCTCCAGACGCCGAAGGCGGCGAATGAGATGGGGACGACGTCTGCCAACACGTCGGATGCCTGGGCCCTCCTTCGCAGGGCCGCCAAAGGCGACAGCGCAACCGAAAACCGTCCGCAAGCAGATTCCCCACCCCCCATCCTGGGGCGGGGACCACCGGAGCTGAGGAGGGACGATCCGAGGGACAATCGGCGATCCATCGCCGATAGATCGGCGGTAGGCCCCCGATAGCGAATCCACACTGCCCTGGACAGGGTGGGCAATCAGGCACCTCATCAGCGATGAATGGGCGATTGGGGGTCGATGCGTGCCCCCCCTGAGCCTATCCCGCCCTACCGTTGCGACATCCTCGGGGCGGGGATCGCCGAGGCTTGGGGGAGGCAGGGGGAGGAGCGCTCATCATTGTCCTCGCCCCCATCCTGGGAGGAGGGAGGAGGAGGAGGAGGAGGAGGAGGAGGAGGAGGAGGAGGAGGAGGAGGAGGAGGAGGAGGAGGGGAAGGAGGAGGAGGAGAAGTAGGAGGAGGGGGAGGAGGAGGGGCAACGGGCCGTGTCTACGAACGGAGGTGCGTACAGTCACCGTGCTGACGCAGGGAACGCTAAACAGTGTGATGTCTTGCAATCTATGGGGGGCAGTCTAGGTGGTACGATCAGTGTGGTGCATTCCGGGTGGTACAATCCATGTGGTGCACACGATGTGTGCAAATCCGCCGGCCCCCTTGTGGGGCCACCAGGCTGCGAGGCACGGGTTCGCAGTTTCCAGTACCAGTTGTAGCTTGTAGTTTCCAGTGTTACAGTTCTGCTTCTTGCTGGTTACTGTAACTAGTTGATTGACCGCGCGAGGGGGGGGAGGCCCAAACGGGATTTTTAGCACCCCCTGGGCGCGTTGTCTGAAACGGCTCGGGCAATTGCTGGGGGGTCGAAATCGACACCCCTCACGCAGATCCGCGGGGTCAGGGTCCAAAAACACAGGGATTTGCCACATTTCTGAAATTCGGTGCCACCCCTCACGCAGATCCGCGGGGTCAGGGTCCAAAAACACAAGGGATTTGCCACATTTCTGAAATTCGGTGCCACCCCTCACGCAGATCCGCGGGGTCAGGGTCCAAAAACACAAGGGATTTGCCACATTTCTGAAATTCGGTGCCACCCCTCACGCAGATCCGCGGGGTCAGGGTCCAAAAACACAGGGATTTGCCACATTTCTGAAATTCGGTGCCACCCCTCACGCAGATCCGCGGGGTCAGGGTCCAAAAACACAGGGATTTGCCACATTTCTGAAATTCGGTGCCACCCCTCACGCAGATCCGCGGGGTCAGGGTCCAAAAACACAAGGAATTTGCCACATTTCTGAAATTCGGTGCCACCCCTCACGCAGATCCGCGGGGTCAGGGTCCAAAAACACACGGGATTTGCTACATTTCTGAAATTCGGCGCCACCCCTTACGCAGATCCGCGGGGTCAGGGTCCAAAAACACATGGGATTTGCCACATTTCTGAAATTCGAACCCATCACGCACATCCATCGCAAGGCGTGGTAACCCAAACTGCGAGAACTCCCTCGGCCCTTTAATCGCAAGGTGTGGTAACCAAGCCCTTAAACCATACACGTCTTACCAATCGCCAGGTGTGGTAACCCCTCTTGTGATCAGTTGGTTTTGCTGATTGCGACTCGGCTTCGCATGAAGTTTCGATACTGCTTCACGACAGCGCCAAGGCCTCATGACTTAGCTCTTCCATGGCCCATTCTCCGAGAGAGGGGGCCGGCGGCAGGGGGCGAAGCCCTTACGGATAAAAGAACAGACATGCGAAGCATTGCACCACGATGCAAAGCAGTGCAACGCAACGCAATGCAACGCAATGCAATACGAAACAATGTAAAGCAGCGAAAAGCAGCGCAAATGAATGCAACGCAATGCAAGGCCATGCAGAACCCATACAAGGCAAGACGAAGCAGTGCAAGGCAATGCAATGCATTGCAGCGCCAAGCGGCGCAAAACGGTGCAGAGCAATGCAGAGCAGCGCAACGCAGTGCAACGCAGCGCAGTGCAGAGCGATACGCAAGGCAATGCAGCACGATTGCAAAATGCAACACGATTGCAAAATGCAAGCTGTGCGGTTGCAAGGCAGTGCCATTGCAATGCACCTGGGGGGCGGTGCGACGGGGCAGCGGGACGAACGGGAACGGGACCGTCGGGACAGCACACGGGCCTTCTTGTTTGGACAAACTGCTGCGGCGGCGGGCGGGAACGGGGCCGCCGGGGCCGCGAACGGGCCGAGTCCCACAGAAGCGAGGCAAGACGCCCGGAGTGCAAGCACTGGTTGGGGAACAGGCTTAAGCTCAACTGACGTCTGCGAGGAAGCTGGGATCAGCGCTGGTTTGCGGCGACTCCAGCGCCGCCCCGAGCGCGCCAGGAAGGCGGGGTCCAGCGCCGATCCAAGGAATCCGCGCGGACCTCGACATGTTCATGCCCATGGCCCATGCTGGGGGAGAGAAGGCAGGAGCAAAGGAGGGAGAAGAGAGGAGGGAGCAGCAGCAGGACGCCGCCTCGAACCGCGAGCAGGCGCCTTTTTGGCGCCCTTTCCCTTCCCTCCTCCCTTCCCGCTCCTGGGCGGAGCCGCGCGGCGCATGGAGATCTCGCGCAGCAGGTACACCATGGCCCTGTGCCCACTGTTCATGGCCACCAACGCTGCGGTGGCACCGTCCAGCCTGGCGCAGGTGATGTCCGCCTGTGCGCCGCACAGGAGCCGGGCCACGCCCAGGTGCCCGTGCTGCGCGGCCACGACCAGCGGCGTTGAGCCGGTCTCCGTCGGCGCGTCCACGCTGGCGCGTGCCCCGCAGAGCGCCGCGGCGATGTCGACGTGTCCGCCCTGAGCTGCCATCAGCAGGGGCGTGGCGCCGCTGTGCAGCGCACTGTCGACGTCGGCCATCCCAGCGCAGAGGAACCCGACCACCTCCGAGTGACCCTGCTGCGCGGCGATCAGCAGCGGCGTCGAGCCCGTCCGGGTGGCCTGGCTCACTGCCGCGCCGGCAGCGTGCAGCTCAAGGACCAGACCGATGTCCCCGCTCTGCGCCGCAACGAATAGGGGCGTCGCCCCGTCCTGCCAGGCGACGTTCACGTCCGCCCGGGCGGCGGTGAGGCCGCGCGCCACCTCGAGCAGGCCGTCGTGCACCGCGAGAACCGATGATCCTCAGGACGCGCGTCAGCGCCAGCTTGCGCTTGGCCACCGAAGCCCTTCAATGCCGCGGAGGCAGCGCAACGAGGGCCGACACAGGGAGCGCGCCATCGGTGGAACCGACCAGGGTGAGCATCGGTTTTGTCGACACGCCGACGGTCGGGCGGCGCGGGCGGGCCGAAGTCGGGCTGCGAAAGGGCAAAACAACGCCTGAGAACTTGACGTCCTCCATCACGGTGTGGCGGCCCAGGCTCAGAGCAGGAGCCGTGCCGATCAAGGCAACCAGGCGCTGAGACAGCACCCGTCCTGAGAACCGTCGAGAGGAAGAGGGCCGTCGCCCCGTCGCTGCGGGTCGCGTCCCTCTCGGCGCCGACCTCGCACAGGAGCCGCACCATCCCGGAGGGGGGCCAGCTGAGAAAACGGCGGGCCGCCCCGCCCGGCCGAACTCCGCTCCGCATGGGTCCGCGGACCCCTCCCCGGGTCTTGGGAGAGGCCACTGCTGGCAGGTTGCCGTCGGAAAGATACACGAGGATTGGGCCCCATTGGGGGGCTGCTACGCCGGAGTGGGCCTCGGATTGAGCGGGATCAAGCGGGATTCCGCGGGACTTCGGACCAGGGCAAAATCTGATGGGCCTGTTTTCCACCACCACCACCATAAGTTGGAGGGGGAGAGGGTCCTCCTCCTCCTCCTCCTCCTCCTCCTCCTCCTCCTCCTCCTCCTCCTCCTCCTTCCCCCCTGCAACTTATGGTTGTGGTGGTGGATAACAGGCCCATCAAAATCAGAACCTGACCTCCCAAAGAGTTGCCTCCGCATGGGTCCATCCAAAAGCCCGTGCTTCGCGGCGCACCCCGCCGCGGCGACGAGGAGCCTCCCGGGGGCCTCGACACGAGAGCGAGGGGGGGCGACGGCATCGAGGGGCCGCCGTCGCCTCGGCCTGCCCTCCTCCGACCCTCTCCGCGTGCCCCCCGCGAGACGCGGCGTGCAGGGCCGTGCCCCCGCACTCGCCGCGGTGATTCGGGTCCGCGGACCGCTGCAGGGCCCACTTGCGCGGGGGGCGCCAGCCGACCACCTCACCGACACCGGCCGGACCCATCCTGGGCCCAGCAGCGGTGCAGGCACAGGTGGCAGAGGGGTTGGGCAATCACGTCGCAGGGTATTCACTTTCATTGTTCCCCCTCCCTCGCCGCAAGCATGAGATGATTCAAACGGTCGCCAGGCGAGCAGGAAACGCCTCACGAGCCGACCTGCAGCAGGCAAACTCGTGTGGCGAACCGCGGCCCGAAAGAGAAAGCGGCTGTGCTGCAAGAAATGCAGTCGAGCTAAAGCCACGGGGAACGCTCGACAAGGAAAGAAGCCCCTTTTCTGGTCCCAACAGCGCCCGGGTGCACGAGGAGCGCTCGAAGAACCAGCGCGAAGGACCCAAGGAACAGCGGGCCCCTTCCGAACCCGAACTGCTCCTTGTTTCAGCGGCTTGACGGCACGCCCTCCTGGCATGGCCAGGAGGGCGCAGGCACCAGTGCTGGGTCGGGGGCGCGCAACCATGGATCGGGGGAGGTGCCCTCCCCAAAATGCGGCCGGTGCCGCCTCGCTCGGCGGCAGCAACCCGCGATTTCCTATGGAAACGGGACCCGTCGCTAATCCACGCCCCCTTGATCCATGTCTGCGATCGCCTGACTGGGCCCGGGCTTCGGCGAGGGCGTCGGGGATCTTCTGACCCGGGCCAATCCAGACCCGGGTCAGCAGGAAACCAAAACACTGCAACGCAGGAAAAAACACTGCAACGCAGGTCTTCGCCAACCCGGGTCAGCCCATGTGCGCGGCCGCCTCGCTGACCTGGGTTCAGCCAGAGCGGGTCTTCGCAGGACCCTGCAGGATCCGGTGCCCTGCTGACCCCCGTCTGCATTGACCCCCGTCTCTTGGGCTCCGAGGGCGGTCAGACTCCGCCCCCCTGGACTGCGCCCTGTCCAGCCACCCGTTCTTCGCGGCGGTCCGGAGCAGCCCGCTCATGCGCTCGTCCTGCGGCACCACCACGAGGGTCAGCTCGGCGGGCCCCTGCGGCCCCAGCGGGGCCGCCGCGCCGTCCTCGAGGGCGGTCGCACCCCACAGGAGCCTCTGCCTGGGGCAGGAGGAACAGCAAGCGGCACGAGCACAGACTTTCGACGCTCCGCGCGGACTTCTCGCATCGGCGCTGGACGGGCCCCCCCTCTCGGGCGTGGGCAGAACTGGGTGTGGTGGGACCTGGTTCAGTGATGTGTCCTGGGGGACGCCCCCCCCGCCCCGTTCCACGAACAGGAACTGCCGTCACCCGAAAAAAAAAAACAGCTGCGGCAGACCTTGTTTAGGTATTCTGGCCAATTTGGGGGCTCTGGGGCCCTACTTACCACTAACCAGGTCCCCTTACCTGGGGTCCTTGCTATACCCGCTCCTCCCTGGCATGCAGCAGGGGGAGGAGGAGGAGGAGGAGGAGGAGGAGGAGGAGGAGGAGGCCCAGCGCAGATCCACATCCGCGCGGACCGCCAAGAGTTCGTGCCGCTGCAGGTGCTCTTTCCTCGACCTGTAGGGCGGGACGCCGCACTCCCCCCAGATGCGGCGCTTGACCTGCAGCACGGGCTCCCCCGCGCGCAGCTCGACGACGGCGACCATCGGAGGAGGGCCAGTCGAGACCAAGGCGGCCCTCCCTGCCATGTTTTTCTCCTCTCTGGGCCTCCGAGAGGATTCTCTGGGCCAGGGCTGGCTCCGCCCGACATGCGGGTCAGAGTGGACCCCCGGCGGGACCTGGGGACCGCCTTGGAGCGGACCTTGGACGGGGAGACTTGGCCCGCAAGTGACCCTGGCGCCCCGGGAGGGCACGGCGACCCCGCGCAGCCGGCCGCCAGTGCCCAGATTGCAGACGCTGCCCTCGGCAGTCCCTTCCGCCCTCGACGTTGCCAAAAACTGGCCCCCCTCCGAGACCACCTCACCCGACAGGCCCACCACCCGCACTGCCGCGGGCTCCGGCATCCGCATCCGACCCCGCGCAGGCCCCCCGCCTCGCGGCCCCGGCCGCCCGCGCGCGGACGAGGCCCGGGCCCGCCCGGCCCGGAGCCAGGGCGGCGACGCATCTGGGGAGAGGGAGCGGGAGCAGCGGCGGGAGCGGAAGCCGGAGCTGGAGCTCGAGGAGGAGCGATGAGGGCCCAAACGAGTAACGACGACGACGGCGAAGACGAGGACGACGACGACAACAACGACGACGACGACGAAGACGACGACGACGGCGACGGCGACGACTGCGGCGACGACGACGACGGCGACGACTGCGGCGACGACGACGACGACGACGACGACGACGACGACGACGACGACGACGACGGCGGCGGCGGCGGCGGCGACGACGACGGCGGCGGCGACGACGACGACGGCGGTGGCGGCGGCGGCGGCGACAAGAACGACGACGACGAGGAGAACGACGAGGACGATGACGACGAAAACGACGACGACGACGACGACGGCGACGAAGCCGACGGCGACGAAGCGGACGACGACGAGGGCGAGGAAGCAGAGAAGAGTAGTCTCCAACATGCCGCAGGCGGATTCTTCACTTGTGAAATGTGTGCGCGCAGGGGAGTATGGAACATGCGTCTGGCACGCGTGCAGACGGCATCAGGTGTTTTCACGCTTGTAGGCCCTCAGGGGGGCATCGACGACAACGACGACGACAATGACGACGACGGCGCGGCCGGCGGCGGCGGCGGCGGCGGCGGCGACGACGACGACGAAAACGACGACGACGACGACGACGACGACGACAGCGGCGGTGGCGACGACGACGGCGGCGGCGGCGGCAGGAGGAGCGGCGGCGGCGGCGACGACGACGACTGCGGCGACGACGACGACGACGACGACGACGACGACGACGACGGCAATCACGGCGGCGGCTGCGGCGGCAGCAGCTGCCCCCCGCGAGGTGCGCAGGGCCTCGCACGAGTGCGGCCTGCCCTGCGCCGGCTCCTCGGGAGGCCGCGCGTCAGACGCACCCTGCAATCGGCCCCCCCGCCCCCCGCCGCACGGGTGGGAGAAGCACAAACTCCTCCTCTGCCTCGTGCTCCTCCTCCTCCTCCTCTGCCTCGTGCTCCTCCTTCCTTCCTTCGATCTCATCCTTGCCCTCCTCCTCCTCCTCCTCCTCCTCCTCCTCCTCTGCTACGTGCTCGTCCTTCTTTCGCTATCATCCTTGCCCTCCTCCTTATCCTCCTTCTACTTCCCTGTCTCGTGCTCTTCCTTCCCTCCTTCCCTCTCCTCCAACTCCCACTCCTCATCCTCCTTCTCCTCCCCACCCTCCCTCGTCCAACTCCCTTCATCCACCTCCTCCTCCTGCTCCTCCCTTGCCTTCTTCCTTCCTTCCTCCTCCTCCACCTCTATCTGTACACTCCCTGTGCTCTGAAAATACGAATGACTCATCCGCGTGGCGCTCCCAGACGTGTCGAGAGGACGGCCCCGGCACACCGCCTGAGACTTCCTTACCACTGATGCCCATGAAGCTTCAGATGTGCAACACTTACGTGATGCATTTGTTTCCGAAGTGATGCTCTCGTCCCAGCGCCGCGCACACTCGTCTCGGCAGAAGCTACATGGAGAGCGACAGGGCCGCTCCCCAAATGAGGCTCTCACCTCAGCGCCTCGTGATGCTCTCGCTTTCGGAGTGATGCTCTCGTCCCAGCGCCGCGCACACTCGTCTCCACAGTGGCAGCAGCTACATGGAGAGAGAGAGAGGGCCGCTCCCAAAGTGAGGCTCTCACCTTAGCGCCTCGTGATGCTCTCGTTTTCAGAGTGATGCACTCGTCCCAGCGCCGCGCAGCTTCGTCTCCACAGTGGCAGCAGCTACAAGGAGAGAGAGAGAGAGAGAGCGCCGCTCCCAAAGTGAGGCTCTCACCCTGGCGCCTCGAGACGGTCGTGCAAAAGTTGGAATCAATCGTCTTGGAATCAATCTCAGCTTCATAGACAGAGGGCCGCTCACTTTCTGAATGGGGGGCTCGCCTCAGCGCTATGTTGCTCCCAGCGTACTTAAAGGACCACATCCCAGAAATGACTTCGAGCACCGGGAAACGTGTCGAAAGAGTCTCGAAACAGTGTCGAAACAGCGTCGGGCGAGTGTCTCCCAGGGACCGACACGTGAAAACCCCGATTCCGTTCCAGAACGGCGCATCACCGAACTGCCTGACCCTAAAGAATCGCGTCCCTTTTGTAACTGGATGCCGACGGAAGAGTGCAAGGAGGTTCCTTTCTCAAAGGGGGGCTCTCGCCGCTTTCTCAAAGGGGGGCTCTCGCCGGAATGGCAGGCCCAAAGGATGCTCGTCTTTCAAGGGGGCGCCTCCTGCTGTGATAAGAAAAACCTCTTGAGCCTTATGAGGAGAGACTTGGAGCGGGAGGGCTCATTGCAGCATGGTTTATGCATCTTGGGTTTACACCCTCCTCGACCTCCTCACCGCCATACTTGGAAAATCACTCAATGAGGCGATCCCCACTGCTGCAGATCACAAAAAGCACGAAAAGCGTTAACTCCCGGAGGTCGGGGTTGCTGGAATTGCTGGGGTCGCTGAGTTTCCCCGGGGCTCTCGAGCAGGCCTTATCCAACAACAACAGTCAGATTAAGACTGCTCGCTCTTAACTGCTCGCGAGTCATTCCACACATAAATCCCAAACACTCGATACCCGCCCTCTTCGTCTTCGATCGTACCCCATCGGGGTATCTTTCTTACTTGCAACGTGTATTATGTGCAGCCCCTAAGGCAGGGGAAGAGAAGACGGATGGAAGGAAGGGACAACGGGAATGCGGCTTGCTGAAGCGTGCGTCCTGCATGAATCGCGAGGAAGTCTAGAGCGAGAGCGCGATTCCCAAAAAAATCGTGGGGAAATCCGTAGCGAGAGCGTGATTCCTGAGTCTGGCGGGCGTGGCGTCTGAATAGATCGCGAGGAAACCACACGCGAGAGCGCGATTCATTGGTACATTGTGAAGAAGTCCCGCGCAAGAGCGCGAGTTGGGCATAATTTGTGAGGAAATATCAGGCGGGAATCGTTGTTGTTGTTGTTGTTGCAGACCGGGGCCGAACAACACAACTTGGTGAGCCCTCACTGTCCATTGCAAACAAATAAAAATAAAAAACGGGTGCGAGCCCCGGGAGAAGCACTTCAATCGAAAAGTGCAATGGTTACCGGAGGGGGATCAACAAGAAGCATCCTTGGGGAATGAAAACTCAACAACAAAAACAAAAATGGAGACGACGTCGACGACAGCGACGACGATGGTAAAGACTACAAATAGATTGCGTAAACAGCAACGGCAGCGAAGACGACGGCAGCGACGACTGCAGCGACGACGACGGCGGCAAGGACAACGGCGGCGACGACGATGGTGACAACGGAGGCGACGACGGCGGCGACTTCAATGGCGGCGACGTCAATGGCGGCGGCGACGGCCGCGGCATCACGACGACGGCACCCCTCCGCAAGCGGTGCGAACTCCTGGTCGACAGACACGGGGCCCTTGCCCAGCGGGGCGGTCCCGGAGGCGCTCAGGGCCAGCGCCTCGCGACACCGCCCGCCGGCGAGCCCCGCGCGCGCGCGCGGCCGCGCCCGCGGCGGGCGGCTCTGCGGCGTCCCAGGATCACTCCGCATCGAACCGAATCTCGGCAACGCCGACGGCGAAAACGACGACGACGACGCCGACGCCGACGCCGACGACGCCGACGCCGACGCCGACGCCGACGTCGACGCCGACGCCGACGACGACGACGACGTCCACAACAACATTAACAACAACAACAACAACAACAACAACAACAACAACAACAACAACAGCAGCAGCAGCAGCAGCAACAACAACACCAACAACAACAGCAGCAGCAGCAGAAACAACAACAACAACAACAACAACAACAACAACAACAACAACAACAACAACAGCGGCGGCAGCGGCGGCGCCGACGCCGAGGACGACGACGACGATGACGACGACGACGACGACGACGACGACGACGACAACGACGGCAGCGGCGGCGGCGGCGGCGGTGGCAGCGGCGGCAGCGGCGGCGGCGGCTGCTCACCCTGCACGCCGCGGCGAGGCAAGGATTATCAAGGTTCACTGCGTGGGGAAACGATGTGCTGGGACCGTAGGGGGAAGTGGGCGTATGGAGACAGACTTGGGCCCAGGGACCCGAATGTATCCACATCCACTGCCTTCCGAGGTCCCCGAGGACAATCCTCCAGGCGATGCTTATCTATAAACCCCCACCACAGAAGTCAGCGTTGAATCGAATATCGACGACGGCGGCGGCGGCGGCGGCGGCGGCGACGACGACGACGACGACGACGACGACGACGACGACGACGACGACGGCGACGGCGGCGGCTGCAGCAGCGGCGGCGGCGGCGGCAGCGGCGGCGACTACGATAGCGGCGGCTGCTGCCACCCTGGAACGCCGCACGGTCCGGCCCAGGCCTTGGCCACGACAGCGGCGGCGGCAATGAGCTCACATAGAGGCGTTCTAGGTGGGGTCCGAGTAGATGGGGTCGGAGGATCGCGCCGCATCGGCGGTGCATCGGTGATATATCGCCGATGCATCAGCGATGCATCGGCGACAGCGAAACATCGGCGACGTCGGCGATGCGTCGGCGACGTCGGCGTGGAGAAAAGCGGGCTCCACACCGAGCCGAATCGGCGATGCATTGGCGATGCAGCGCGATCCTCCGACCCCATCTACTCCGACCCAATCTAGGAGGCCTAGATCACTCGAAGCCCAAAAGTTGCCCTCATACCCAACCCATTGCATGCATGCCGTCGCGTATAGGCATTTGGCTGAGGAGCCTTGGGGCGGGAGCGCGAAACGCCCCTCCACACCAAAGACTGGCGCAGTTCCCCATCCCAGCCATCCAGAGGCGACGACGACGGCGAAGACGACAACTCAACCGCCAGAAAATGTCCGTTCCAACACTTTGAACGGTGCCCTGGGATCTCGAGAATGTGGACATTTGCCCACAATTGTCCGAGAACAGACCAAGTCAACAGCGAAACCGAGACCGACCGAAACCAACAGGCCGCAAGCAGCCTAGGAGGGCGCAGCCACGCGGCAGCGATACAATAACCGACCAGATCGAACCGACCGAACCGAGCCGACACTGCCGATCCACGAACCCCCTTGATGTCCCCCGAGCCCCGAGGACACAAACGCGCGGCATCAAGTTTGGACATTTATCCGATTCTGTGGTCTTGTTTCTGCGCGCGGCCACAAAGGTCCCCACCCCTTTCCCAGGGGCAATCTTTCGCTCCAGACCACGGACCAAAAAAAAAAAAGATGCGCGGGCGCCGGAGACCGAAAGAGCAGGAAACCGCCCGGACTGAAAAGGCAGCTCGTCGAAGACCCGGGTACTCTGGCGCTGCAGCAGCGGCAGCGGCAACGCCGGCGGCGACGGCGACGGCGGCGGCGGCGGCGGCGGCGGCGGCAGTGGCGGCGGCGGCGGCGACGTCGACGTCGACGACGTCGACGACCACGACGACGACGACGACGACAGCGGCGGTGGCGGCTGCCCCCCCCCTCTGCCCCCCCGCGAGCGCCGCTGCGGCGAGCGGGGGGCCGCGGCCCCGCATGGCCTGGCCCTGAGCCTGGGGGCCCTCTCCCCACTCCCGCGGGGGCTGGCAGGGAGGCGCCCCGCGGCCAGGGGCAGCTCCTGTAGGTATTCTGATGGTGTCCTTCTCCACCACCACTACAGTAGGTAGGAAGAGGAGGAGGGGGAGGAGGAGCAGGAGGAGAAGGAGGAGGAGGGAAAGGAAGAGGAGGAGAAAGGGAAGGAGGAGGGCCTCCTCGTCCTCCGTTCTCCCCCGTCATACCTAAGGTAATGGTGGTGGAAGATTGGTCCATCAGTCTTCGTCAAGCCCGGTTCAAGCGCATACGGCGGAAACCTAAGCCGGATCAGAAAAGGATGAAGCCAAATGAAGCAGGATCGAGCGAGATTAGGTCTTTTCGACCAGGGATATACCAGCGCCCATTCTGGATTGAACCTTCCAGGAAGTGTATTCAAAGGGGTCAGATCTCGAACCTCGACCGACGCAGTATCGGACAAAGAGGCCCCCCGAATCGAGACTGGGCCAGGAACCCCCCTGGGGGCCTCCCAAATGGGGTCCGAGTGGATGGGGTCGGAGGATCGCGTCGCATCGGTGACGCTGGCGACGCATCGGCGCAGTTTGGGTGGAGAAGTCCGGGGCCCGCATCGAGCCGCCCTGCCAATGCGTCGGCGATGCGGCGCGATCCTCCGATCGCATCCTCAAATCCCACTTGGGAGTCATGTTGAAGGCATGGAAGTGGGCACCAACACCAACACAGGGGGTTGCCTCCACAGGGGAAGATGATCCTAGATTTCGGTGCTGGTGGAAATATTTCGGCCACCCTGGAAGCCAGAATATTACCACCATCACCGAGATCGGGATCGTCTTCCCTCGGTGGAGGCACACCGCCGATCTTGGTATTGGTGTCAACCTCTAGGCCTGCGAACTTGGGAGTCATGGACCCTCTGGCAGCCCCCGACCCCCTCGGCCCCCCCCCACCCCAGGAGGGCGCGCGCAGGGCGGGGCGGGGCGGGGCGGGGCGGGCCGCTGCTGCGGCGGCTGCGCGGCGGCCGCCGTCGAGGCAGTCGCCGCTGCCGTCAGCGTAGCCGTCGGCGTCGCCATCGTAGCCTCCGCCGTCGTACCTGCAGCTGCCGTCGCCGCTCTCCTCCTCCTCCTCCTCCTCCTCCTCCTCCTCCTCCTCCTCCTCCTCCTCCTCTCCTCCTCCTCCTCTCCTCCTCCTCCTCCTCCTCCTCCTCCTCGTCCCCCTCCCTTCTCCTCCTCCTTCTCCTCCTCCTTCTACTACTGTTAATCATCGTAGTAGCGTGATTATTCATGCTTTTACTTTCGTAGTAGTAGTAGTAGTAGTAGTAGTAGTAGTAGTAGTAGTAGTAGTAGTAGTAGTATAGTAGTAGTAGTAGTAGTAGTAGTAGTAGTAGTAGTAGTAGTAGTAGTAGTAGTAGTAGTAGTAGTAGTAGTAGTAGTAGTAGTAGTAGTAGTAGTAGTAGTAGTAGTGAGGAGGAGGAGGAGGAGGAGCAACAGCAGTAGTAGTAGTAGTAGTAGTAGTAGTAGTCGTAGCAGTAGTAGCAGTAGTAGTAGTAGTCGTAGTAGTAGTAGTAGTAGTAGCAGCAGTAGTAGTAGTAGTCGTCGTAGCCGTCGTCGTCGTAGTAGTAGCCGTAGTAGTAGTAGCCGTAGTAGGCGTAGTAGTCGTAGTAGTAGCCGTAGTAGTAGTAGTAGTAGTAGTAGTAGTAGTAGTAGTAGCAGTAGTAGTAGTAGCAGTAGTAGTAGTGATAGTAGTAGTAGTCGTAGTAGTAGTAGTAGTAGTAGTAGTAGTAGTAGTAGTTCTACTGCTAGTAGTCGAAGTAGTAGCGTCCTCTTGTTAGTCGTACTGATATCATGCTCGTGTGTACTAGTAATTGTGTTCTTAGCCGTCGTCTCGTATGTATTAGTCGCCTTATTATTAGTAGTCGTGTTCGTATTCGTCTTAATCTGACTAGTAGCATTGGTAGTGCTGATCTTCTGTTTGCCATGATACCTTTGTAATACGATTACGAGTAGTCATATTACTTGTAACTACTATGAATAGTTTTGGTATGAGTCGTAGCCTTACTCTTTGACGAACGGGTATCATGATGAGTAGTAGTTTTACTAGTAGCACGGTTGTCAATCTTATTTTTATACATAGGAGTCGCATTTGTTCATGCTATCAGTGTTGTTGCATTATGAGTAGTAGTTGTAGTAGCAATCGTAACAGTAGTGATAGTAGTTGCGGTACTGGTAGCGACATGATTCTTATTATTCGCATTCGCATTCGTATTCATATTAGCCTTACTCTTGTTAGCATTCGCAGTATGATTAGTCGTATTCGTTTTCGTCTTAGTATCATTCGTCAAATGATAACTGCATTTTTCCTACTTAATGCTCTTCGTCTTCTTATTCACATTTGTATATCCCATAATTCAGAATATATTAGAAGTCTCATTCTTTATGATTCTCTTGATTCGCATTATTATTCCTTATCCGTATTAGTCTTATTCTGATAACTACTACGATCAGTATTATTATTAGTTTGTTTCGTTTCTTCTTATTAGTCTTCCCCCTCCCCCTCCTCTTCTTCCTCCTCCCCATCCTTTTCCTCCTGAGGCGGCGGCGTCGCTGATCTCAACGGCTCCCCGCAAAGGTGCCGCCTGCCGAGGCTGCTCCCGCACCTGCTGGTGCAGGAACCCCCCAGCGTGAAAGGACGTTCGGCTTCAGCCTGCGCACGGCCGTTCAAGGCAATAGCAAAACAGAAAACCGACCGAACCGACAGCGAGACCGAAACCGGCCGAAGCCGACAGGCTGCAAGCAGCATGGAAGGGCGCAGCGACGCGGTAACAACACGACGGCCGACCGAACCGACACGACCGAACGAAAACGACTGCGACGCAGCCGAGCCGACCGAACCGCGAGCCCCCTCTCTGTAGGCCTTCGCGCAGACGCCGAGAGCCACCTCTCGAGGAGGCCGAGATCTTGCTGAGGAGCGGGGGGTCCACTACGAAATGACGGGACTTGCGCGAGTGGTGCCACAGAGCGGGAAAGAGAGGAAAACGAGACAGAACAGAGGGCCAGCGGGGGGGAGTGGAACCTGGTATATTTGATGTCCTGCGATAGCGGCCGTCACCGGCCCGACCCCCCCCCCCCAAGGTGGCATCACATTCCGCGCCTGCGGGGTCTGGAAATGCTTGGGATGACCGAGGACGGGTAGGAGCAGCGTGTCGGTGATGATCTGCACCACAGCGCTTGTGTGCACCACACTGCTCGCGTGCAACAAAGAAGGCGTGCACACGACAGCGCCTGTGTGCACCGTCGTCGTCGTAGTAGTAGTAGTAGTAGTAGTAGTAGTAGTAGTAGTAGTAGTAGTAGTAGTCGTAGTCGTAGTCGTAGTCGTAGTCGTAGTAGTAGTAGTAGTAGTAGTAGTAGTAGTAGTAGTAGTAGTAGTAGTAGTAGTAGTAGTAGTAGTAGTAGTGGTAGTAGTAGTAGTAGTAGTAGTAGTAGTAGTAGTAGTAGTAGTAGTAGTAGTAGTAGTAGGTAGTAGTAGTAGCAGGTAGTAGGTAGTAGGTAGTAGGTAGAAGGTAGCAGGTAGCAGGTAGCAGGTAGTAGGTAGTAGGTAGCATGTAGCAGGTAGTAGGTAGTAGTAGTAGTAGGTAGTAGTAGTAGTAGTAGTAGTAGTAGTAGTAGTAGTAGTAGTAGTAGTAGTAGTAGTAGTAGTAGTAGTAGTAGTAATAGTAGTAGTAGTAGTAGTAGTAGTAGTAGCAGTAGTAGTAGTAGTAGTAGTAGTCGTAGTAGTAGTAGTAGTAGTAGTAGTAGTAGTAGTAGTAGTCGTAGTCGTGATCGTAGTCGTAGGGGTAGTCGTAGTCGTAGTCGTAGAAGTAGAAGTAGTAGTAGTAGTAGTAGTAGTAGTAGTAGTAGTAGTATAAGTAGATGTAGTAGTAGAAAAGTACTAGTAGTCGTAGTAGTGGAAGTAGAAGTAGAAGTAGAAGTAGAAGTAGAAGTATAAGTTTAAGTAGAAGTAGAAGTAGAAGTAGAAGTAGTAGTAGAAGTAGTAGTAGAAGTAGTAGTAGAAGTAGTAGTAGAAGTAGTAGAAGAAAAAGTAGTAGTAGTAGTAGTAGGTAGGTAGTAGTAGGTAGCAGTAGTAGGTAGTAGTAGTAGTAGTAGTAGTAGTAGTAGTAGTAGTAGTAGTAGTAGTAGTAGTACTAGTAGTAGTAGTAGTAGTAGTAGTAGTAATAGTAGTAGTAGTAGTAGTAGAAGTAGTAGTAATAGTAGTTGTAGTAGTCGTAGTAGTAGTAGTAGTAGTAGTAGTAGTAGTCGTAGTCGTAGTCGTAGTCGTAGTCGTCATAGTAGTAGTGATACTTATAGGAATAATCGTGGTCGTTGTAGAAGTCCTAATCGTATCATTGGGAGTGGTACTAGTCCCATCAATATTATGATTATCAACGTGTCTCTTACCAGTTGTATAATGCTTAGTGGTAGTTTCATTAGTGTTATTCCTTTTCCTCCACCCCCTCCTGTTCCCCCTCTTCCTCCTCCTGCAGCTCCTCCTCCTGCTCCCCCTCCTCCTCCTTCTCTTCCTCCTCCTCCTGCCCATCCTCCTCGGAAGGACTCGTAGATTCCAGAGACGCTCCCAGTGCCGTGAGGATTCCCTCCCAAACCTTGCATAAAAATGTTTCCCGTGGAACCCACGCGTAACAAGTATTTACACCCATGGTGCTCTGTTGCACATAGTTGCTGTGGTGCACACAGGCGCCGTGGTGTACACAGCAGCTGTGGTGCACGCAGGCACTGTGGTGTACACTGGTATTGTGTTGCACACGGCTGCTGTGCTGTACGCAGGCGCTGTGGTGTACACAAGCACTGTGGGTGGTGCGTGCAGGCAATGTGGTGCACACTGGCACCGTGTTGTACGCGGCTGCTGTGGTGTGCATAGGCGCTGTGAAGGGGATGGGCGGGGAGGGAAGAGGAAGAGGCGGAGGAGGACCAGACGGTCATCGAGAGACCTCGTCTCCGAGGGGGAGGACGACGAGGAGGACGACGAGGACGACGACGAGGAGGAGAAAGGGCTCGGGGAGGGGAAGCCGCGGCCACTTTCTTCCCGGTGGTTGCGCGCCGTGTGACCGTGGGGCAACCGTGCCGATGTGCCGAGGTGGAAAAGGACGACGACGAGAGCGACGTCTTAATCCGCCGACCCCCGCTTGCTGGGGGTGAGAAGGCGTGTGAGATGACCGGCTGCTCTCTTCCCCCCTGGTTCCCATCTCTGGAGGTCCAGGAACTTCGTGTTCAGGAGGACCTCTAAGCTCGTCAACGTCTTTCTGGGCCCCAGAGACACCCAAAATCGTAGCAGCTGGCCTTAAACAGCCCAAAATTAACCTCCAAGATGGAGCACGACGGCCCGAATTGAACCAAGATGGCCTCCGACATGCCCCAGAGGGCTCTCAGACGTACCCACGGGGGCTTCAGGGCGGCCACAAAGCCTTCCAAGGATTCCCCCGCGAGGCCAAAATCCTTGAAACATGAGTCCCAAAACAGTGCTCGCACTCAAGGACTCTGCATTCTCTCATAGAGAAGTGGGCGTGTGCGTCGGTCTGGCCAGCTTGTGGCCGCCCGTCGACGCCCGTCGCCGCCACCAATCGCAGCACCATTTTGGTCACGATGTTGATTGTGCGAGGCTCGCAACCAGGACTGTGCGCCAATCTGGCCAGCTCGTTGCCGCCTGTCGCCGCCTGTCGCCAACAACCGTCGACGCATCATGTTGGTCACGTCGCTAGTTGTCAGAGACTCTCACTTCGCATTGCTTCGCAATGCTTTGTATTGCTCTGCATAAGTATCTAAATAGGCTTGTCCTATAGGAGTTGTAACTGAACCCCCCTACTAATTGGTCCGTTGCCCGCCCCTTCATTCACATGCCCCTCCTAATTATTATGGCTATGCCTATACCTATGCCTCCCCCCCAACTCCTATGCCTACGCCTAAGCTTATGCCTATGCCTAGGCCTATTCTCTAAACAGGCTTGCCCTATACGAGTCCTAGCTCATCATAAGCAATCGGTCTTTAGCCCCACCCATTTTCCAATGGCACCTCCCTTATTTCCAATGGCACCCCCCTCCCAGCCCCCCTTTGGCCAATGGCACCCCCCTTGATATCCAATGGCACCCCCGTGCTTGCTCTTGCGTGCTTGCTCTCGCGTGTTTGCTGTTGCTTGCCCTTGCTTGCTTGCACTTGATCGCTGGCTCTTGCTTGCTTGTTATTGCTCGTTTGGGCTTGCTTACTTCCGTTTGCTTGCTTGCGCTTGCTTGATATTGTTCCTCCCGTCTTCCTCCCGTCCTGTTCCCATCCTCCTTTCGTCCTCCTCCCATCCTCCTCTGGTCCTCCTCCTGTCCTCTTATCTATTTGGAATCAACGTTGGCAGATAGTTTGCATTGCTATGCAGCGCGCTGCATTGTTTCACATTCACTCGTTTCGGATTGCGTTTCGATGGATTGCTTCGCTGTGTTTCGCGCTGTGTTGCAGTTGCGTTGCGTTGGTGCGCATTGCTGTGCCTTGCGTTGCGTTGCTTCGCGTTGACTTACATGTGTCCATCGCATTGCGTTGCGTTGTTTCGCGTTTCGCAATGCTTTGCATTGCTTCGCATTGCTTCGCATGGCTTCACATGGCTTTGCATCGTGTTGCATTACGTTGCGTTTCGCAACATAATTGGCGCAACACTAATTACATCGCCTAGCAAACACGACGCATATATATATATATATATATGTATTCCCCGCTCTAAAAACAGAATAGACTCTACCCCCCCGGCGTTATCCCCCCCTTTCGGGTATGTAAATCAAATACGATTCTGACCACATGTCCATGCTAAATATGAATTTACAATATCCCCGAGGGGCCAGGATCGGCCCCCCCGGAGGTTCCCTTGCAAACATCGATACGCGGGGACATCCGTTGTTCTAACATAACAGTTTGTCCCGAATCCCTGTGCAAAAATAGGGACGAAGTGCACACGCGCGCGTCGTCGCGCGCGCATGCCGAAATCCTTCAAAAACCTTCGGTGCCCGAAGTACGTCGCAATGGAGTTTCCAAGAATACTGAAAAAACACAAGCTTTCGTAACACTTACTTGCAAGAAAAAGCTTACGCGTGACCTCTTGCGAAATCCAAAGGAAACCATGCGTATTTTTTTCAAGAGTTGCACAACATGTTACCAAACGGGTTCCGCGCGCGCGCATGTCGAAATCTGTCGAACGCTCTTGCGCGTGTGCTGTCGCGAGAATCCTCTGCAAAAAAAGGGACGACGTGCAGACGCGCGCGACGTCGCGCGCGTATGCCGAAATCGTTCAAAACCTTTCGGTTTCGGAAAGATTTCAAAATCGTGTGTCCAAAAAACATACAAAAACACAAGATTTCGCAACACGGATGTTCAACAAAAGCGTGCGCGCGCGCTCTTGCGTCGTCGTCGTCGTCGTCGCCGTCCTCCCTCCTCCCCCGTCGTCGTCGTCGTCGTCGTCGTCGTCGTCGTCGTCGTTGTCGTCGTCGTCGTCGCCTGCGTCGTCCTATGCCTTTCCTCGTGTTCGTCGTCGTCCTCTTTGGCGTCGTGGTCGTTTCCGTCGTCGTCGTCGTCGTCGCCGTGGTCGTCCTTCCTCCTCCTCCCTCGTCGTCGTCGTCCGTCGTCGGCGTCTCGT